ACCATAAAAGCCATCTGCATGGCAACTTCACCAATATTTCTAAGGCCTTGGTTGTTGAGCTCTTTCAGGACTGGCAAGAGTAAAATATCTCTAGCTAACATGTGTGGAGAACTGAGACATCTTTGGCATAATCATGCTGTTTAAATCGTAGCATATTTGTGGTTGAAGGCTGTACTTAATTGTTAAAAAGTCAATTATGGATGAGTCATTAAGAGATGACTCTGGCTCCCCGAGAGAAACCAATTAGCTTGGGAAAGCTCAGTGGGAACTCCAAGTTCAAGGAGAAATACAGTTATCTCCAGACGTCCTTCCAGATGCAGAGGTGGAAGTTCTGGAAGGGCAAGGATGCTGTGCATCACTTATCACACTCATGTGCACATAAAGGTACACATTGTCAGCCTGTTGCAGATAACAACCAAAAAAAAAAAAAACTCAACACTCATCAGTTGGCTTCGTTATTATCTCTATTTTGTATGATTCAACTCCTCTTCCTCTATTTTTTTCTTCTTCATATTAATAACATTTTGATGAGTAAAGCTTCCACTCAGTAAACTCCTCAGAAAAATTTCCTATCTTCTTAGGAAGAAGATGGACTTGACCTGCTGTGCTCTATGGAAGAGCTCTGTGCTATGTGTCTGTATGGCTGCTGCTGGTAGATTCCTGACCATGAGCTCATGGCCAGCTGAGCCAGGTTTCCAGATCATGCCTAGCCCAGTGGTCTCCAGACATTGTTTTTCTCAATCAGCAGTTTATTGAGAGTTTTGAATTTCTTAAGGTGAAGAAATCCTAAGCCTGTAGAGGTCAAAAGCAACATGAATTATGATCACCTAAAAACTACAGAGAAGGAGTATTGGAGGTTTCATAGCTTCAGCTCCTGGTTAAATGGAGAAAATTGACAGTGTGTTCTGAAGACGTAGAGCTGTCAGTGGCCAAGGCAGGACTGCTGTGCATACTCTAAGCTCTATACCATGTAGTGTCTCTGTGGCACTCTGGTCCTAGAGCAATCACTGTTGTTTAAATTCTAAATGTGGGCGTATTACACACTGCCTGCGAGAGAAAAGTGAACCATGTCTCAAATGTATGACGAGACAGAAGACAAGGCAAAGAACAACAGTAGTCAGTGTCAGACAGTATCCTTCGGGAGGGAGAGGGTCAGCAAGGGAAATGAAGCCAGGAGCTCTGCAGGCCATGCTGCAGCTTTGGGAAGTGCCTAGGGATGGAAAGCTGGGAGTCATTTCAGTTCTTGTACAACTCTACTATTGATAGAAATAATTGTAATAGAAGGTTTTATTTTAAAGTATTTATTAATTCGAAAAGTAGACAGAAACACAGATAAAAAAGAAAGGGAAGGAGAGTGGGAAGGAGGGAGAGAGAGATTTTCCTTCTGCTGATTCACTCCGTGAGTGCTCCTCATAGCCAGGGCTGGATGAAGTTCAAGTCAGGAACCTGGTACTCAATCCAGGTCTGCTATTGGGTAGCACAGACCCCAGTACTGACACCCATCCCATGCTGCCTCCCTGAGTGAGCATTCTCAGCTAGCTAGCTCAAACCTAAACTCTCCCAGATGGGATGCCAGCATCCCAAGGGGTATCTTAATTGCTGCACCAAACACCCATCGCACTATAAGCATGCTTGCTCTGCTTGCTCCATGTGTTCAAAGACAAGCTCAATTCTGTCCCTTTTGCTCGGGGGCGAGAGGAAGGAGTAGATGTGTTGCCCAAAGGAGCATCCAACTTCCAGCTCTGCCAACTGTCTCTCCACACTGAGCGAGGTGCCATTCTTCACTCACTGTAAGTACACCACACACGTCCCTCAAAGCCAGTGAGGAGTGTAGGTAACATACTGTCTCAGCCTTTGAACCTCCAGACCCTGACTAACACACCTGTCATCAGCAGAAGCACAGACTGTGAATCCAGTTGTACACAAGAGCGAGTCTGGACCAAAATTCTGAAACCACACAATCCCAGCTGCCATAATATTAATGTCAAAAAAGAAAATTCACGATAGTTATAATAGTGAAGAAAGTACACTACTGTTAAAAAAGATTGTTGTTATTCTAATTCATATCAGTTGTTTACCTTATTTCATGGCTTCTCATTTATGAGAATGTATAGTGATGGAGTAATAAGAGGCTACCATTTCCAGATGTGGGGATACAATGCAATATGCATCGCTGCTTCTAAATCAAAGATGGACTTCTGTGAAACTGTTGGACATGTGTAGACAATGGGATGCTGGACTGTCTGACATTGTCTGTAACAGCAATGTTGGGGCACATTTAAATAACAGACTAATTGAATCATGACTTATGAAGGACTATACTGCTGAAGCAATGTAAGGACAATCTGACAGGGGGTGGGAGTTCAGGGGGACGGGGGAGAATCCCAGTCTCTATGAAATTGTACCATAAAATTCAAAAATTTAAAACTGATGTCCTTACAGAATGAGAGCATTGTGGACAGCAGTTTAACCCACTACACCATAATGCTATCCCAGAAAAATGAGGCATTCTTAATTGAGGTTTTCATCATTATTGCATTAGTTGGCCAAACCACCCCTTGGAAATTTTCACCAAACATATTGGGAAACTTGGAAAACAAACAAACAAAAACACAACTCTTTTTGGTTATACTATGAAATTCACTCTTAAAAATTCTTGATAATTGGGCTGGCATGTTGGCTCAACTGGCTAATCCTCTACCTTGAAGCACCAGCATTCTGTATGGGAACCAGTTTGTATCTTGGCTATTCCACTTCCCATTTAGCTTCCTGCTTATGATCTGAGAAGGCAGAGGATGATAGGCTGAATTTTTGGGACATTGTAACCACATGGGAGACTTGGAGGAGGTTTCTGGCTTCTGACTTCGCATAGGCTCTGGCCCAACCATTAGCCAGATACAATATTGGTACTTGTCTTAAACCCCAAATCAAATATTGTGTCAAATTTCTCAAACTGTTATCGACTCAAGAGCTTTATCTGAAAGCTTGTACACTAAAGGCTATATTAAAATATCTGAGTTCTACTAATTCTGGGTGTAAATTTAAACCTTCCAAAGTAGCATTCTTTGACTGTCAGGATACATCTTCTGCTGGAAATACTTTTCATAATAGCAACCAACATAGACTAAATTGATGTCACATCAATAGTGGTGAGAGAAGAAATGCAATATGCGTCCATATGGAGATTGTTTCTCCATCTTTGTGCAGAGCTGTGCAAAGATGTAAAATAGTCATACTGACATTTTTCGGACTCAAATTCAAGCCAAATTTTAGTCATAAGCCACTTTCCAAATGTAGTATGAGAAAGCATGTCTCACGCAGGGTGGGCCCATGGTGTTGATAGGAACTGAGCACTTTTCTCCAGGATGCCAGATCTTCATAAAGAGACTTCTGGTGTTTTGAAGAATTTGGAGAGACAGGAGACCTGGCTATTGAGTGACACTGTGGTAAAACAAGACCACATCCATCTCAATGCACCAGAAATATTCAAAGGCTGAGACTACTCCCAGCAATGGCCTGGCCGGGGCTGCGGCTGACTGCCGCGTGTCCTCCCTCCTAACATTTGTATAGAGAACCTCCCAAGTCCTGTTCCATCAAATATCTCACTAGGATACTTCACCTAGTTCTTTTCTGTGTTCATGTAATCATGTACGTGTGCATGAAAGGATACCTCAACTCTGTGATTTTCACATTTGTGGTGACAGCTGTCTTCCTTAGGCTCAACTGTTACCAACAAAGGAGATCGTCATAGCCTCTCTTTCACATGCACACACATAATCTCACACAGAGGTACATACAGCTACATACATCTACATGCATAACACATACAACAACACACAAAATGTACAGCTACACATAAATACGACATCCACAAATCATCACAGATACACACAATCTCACACAGCAACACACACACACACACACTCCATAATTATACATTGTCATCACAAACACAAACACCCAGGACTATTCTTTGTCAATTTTCATTGTGCTTGCATGCACCCAAATTTCATGTGGCAGAGCAGGAGAAGTTTTTGTCCACTTACAAATCAATGTAGTGATGAAGCCAAGGAGGCAGAGCAGCAGACCAGGGCTGCTTGGATTTCCTCAAACAGCTGCAGGGAACTCCACTCAGAGAAGGCTGAGTGTGGTCAGCAAGAGAATGGCTCCCAAATGCCCACATTCTAAATGGCCAAGGGAAATTAAAGTAGCTGATGGGATTAAAGCTTGTTAATTGCCTGGTTTTCAAGTGGAGAAATTACCCTGGATTTTCCAGGCAGGCCTGATATATAATAGAGTATTTCAATGTGGAAGAGGGAGGTAGCTTTGACTGGACCGGCCATCGCTGGCTTTGATGGTGGTGGAAGACCTAAGCCAAGGAATACAAGTGGGCTCTAGACGCTGAAAAAAGAAAATATACTCCCCTGTAGCTTCTCTGGGAAATCAAGAGGTGCTGCTAATTCTCTTGTGAGACCCATGTTGGACCACACACCTCCAGAACTAGAAAGGAGCAAGTGTGTGCTGTTGAAGCCATGGGGTTGGTACACATTTGCTATAGTATCCGGGGAAGACTGTTGCACGAACTGAGTTCAATTTTAAGCAACATTGAGGGACAGGATAGGACCACAGGCAAACTGTGCCTCAGGACGTGTCCACCTTTGAAGTACCCAGCTCCCAGCTGCACATGTTTGTTGTAAGGAAACTATGCCTCTTTAAGACTTGGTTTTACTGTTAAGATTGTACACTGTACTAAACAACAGGGAAAACTTTAGTTGAGTGACTAAGACTGATAAACGATTGTAAAAATGTTAAGAATGTGCTACTCTGGAGCAAGAACTTCTTAGATGACAGGAGTCACGGGACAGCAGAGGGTTAGGGAATGCAGCAGAACTACAACTTCCACGCAATGCCTGTGCTGCTGCTGCCTTGCCCACTGACCTTTAAACCTCCTTAGCACACTGGATTCAGACTGAATCCCCTGAGCCAGCCTGGCCAACTTTTGGAATCAGAAAATGAAAATGTAAGCAGCTGCAAAAATTACCTGCTTCATAAAATTTATATGAGATGAAGATGAAAATCATTAGAAGTCAATCAACTCCTCAGCAGGTAAGAGGCAGGAACCGGAGTGCTGACTGAGGATCACGCTGTGATGATGGAAAGGCAAGGGGATCATTGATCAGGTCTATTAAGACAAGCAACTAGAGTAGACACGCACTGAAAGCTTAGCACACACCAGCACTTTATAGCCAAGGCCCTGTTGAAGCCTTTCTTCAACACTTTAGGGATCCCCTTTAGAGGTTAGAAAATGGAGGAGTTTAAGGGATGAAAACCAGCAAGTGGCAAAGATTCAGAATTAAAGAGCCTTACTCCAGAACCCAGCCTCTCCACCCTTTTCTCCCCGTCACTTGCTTGGCTTGGGCCTCCTGCTGGCCCTGATGTCACGGTCACTCGGTGATGTCATCACCTTCCTGACATCATCTCTGTCTTCTCTCTCTGTTCTCCCGTTGTGTTTAGATCAGTCCATAAGGTTCACTTCTGCCTCTGGACTTTGTTGCCTCCTTACATTTCAGAAACTTTTCCTCAGGTGCTTTCCATTCTCTTCCCTCCTTCAGGTCCTGAAAATGTCTCAGTGACACACACCTGCAGCTACCTTGTATGGATATAGCACTATGTCAGTGTGTACTGGGAAGGCCCATCCCAGATAAGACAGGTAGGTCAGGGATCCAAATGGTCACCTTGAGGCTTCTGAGAGCCAGGCAATCAGTGAGTTTCTAACTTCTCTGTTCATATGCGGAAGTCTGCCTTAGTTGCTTTCTGAAAAATATTCCCAGCTACTGTGGCTGAATGTCTCCTGGGTGTTCACGAGGGTTGTAGGCCTAGTTTCTGATCCAACACAGAAAGGAAGCGAGCAAGTGCAGCCTTCCTTCTTGACCACCTTGAGGTGCGAGGGTGGAAGCAAGGTGACTTTCAGCTCTTCAGAGTGGTCATCTTCGTGGGTTTATTTCTTTGGAGTCTCTGGAATAAAGGCTATAGCCTCATGCTGTAATGTGTACTTACTTCCAGAACCTGATGAAATCACATGCCAGTAGCTCCCAGTGCCTTCAGGACAAAAGGAATCCTGTACTACATACAGCTGGATCATGGAACCATAGACTTCCCACCTCTTCTACGAGGATCTACAAATCACATGACTTTGAGGGCTCAGATACAACTGCTCACACTGGCGGGAACTGATACTTGGAGCTCAGGTGATTTCCCGCACACTAAGTTCTTCTCTGGGCCTGGCTCTGAGAATCACACTCCTTCCAGAACACCGGGCTGCCAACACAGTCTGCCAGGAATCCATCAGGGAATGCTTATGAGGCCATGATCCCAGAACTGGCAGAATCCTGATTGTTTAACACTGGTGGGGGCAAATTCCCAGAGCATCTCTGAGGCACTCTAAGAAGCTTCCCAACTGGTGGCCGTTTCAAAATGTAACTTAAATTTTATTCACTTCTGCTACAATCCGAATAGGAAATGGCTCCCAAATTCATGCAGATGTTAAATCTTCATCATAAAATGATATTACTATGACAGAAACCATCCAATCACAGTATCTGGGAGGTAGGCCTCAGGGGGAGCCCTTTCGGGTCCTGGGAAGGAAGTTGTTGTAAGAGCTGGTTGTGAAACTCCAGCTGGGCCTGACTATTCTCTCTGTGTTCCAGCTCTCCACACAATCCTTCCTCTGGGAGCACAGGGTCATTGCCATCCTCTGGTTTTCCTGGATGGCAAAGGAGACTTGGGTGATCTGAGACAGAGGACCTACAAAACCATAAGCCAACATAAACATGCTTTCATTGAAGCGTCTCTCAGACACTTTGTGACAAAAAGCTACAACAACTTGTAACAAACTTCTTTAGTGGAAAAAGCAAGAACAGCTACAGCCATCAGTGAGAATTTATTTCATATCACTTCATTTATAACATTATAGCATTTGAAGTACAACATTTTGCGCAACATTATGTAAGTTTAAAAAACAAAGTACAACTTGGTAAGGCCACCAGGTTACAAGAGTCTGGAGAGAAGGCTGTCCTCATTTTGGCTTGTGTATTACCTGGGCAAAGGCTCTCAGGCCTATCAGGCAGACAGCAAGGCTAAGAGATGCACTTCTACATACATGGTGAAAGGAGATAACAGCTTTTTCAGTTATGACATTGACCATCGAGTTAAGCTGAGATGGTATTCTCCAAAGAACAATTCTTTCACACAACAGTTTCTGCAGTAACAAGCCGCAAGTTGAACAGGTTTTGAGCTTTGAGGTAAGCCAAGTTCATATTTAACTCAAGCACACACTTCATAGATGTTCGGCTCCAATCCCCATATGGAAGTTAACAAACAAAACCAGAAGGGAAAGCTCAAGTACCTTTGCTATTCTAAAAATCGGAGCAACGCGGTGAACAATAGTTGTATTTAATGCTAACCCCTCTGGATTTTTTAGCACTAATGGACCAGGATATATAAGAAAGTTGCTTGAGTAAAGCTTTCAGAATAGTGTCCCTCACTATTGCCCACCTGTGGCCTAAAGGCAGAGGTGGCCAACCAGCCTGCCCTGGGAGGACCGAGTGTGGCCCCCTTCACCATACGTACAACTGCTTTCAAATTTTGTGTCTGACCTTCAAAAGTGAATTTGCCTTGTACTCCAGGACATCAACCTTTGATACAATATTTAGGATTTACTTAGTTTTAGGAGAAGTCATTCCCTCCTCCCTCACTTCTGCCCACAGCCTGGGTAGGAAGCTTAGCTTTCCACACATAGACAAACCAGGCACTGCAAGTTGAGTAATTCTGTTCACTCAGGGCATAACTAAATGCTTCATGAAATCATGGTATATACTTCAATGTGCCGGAAAATCACTAGCAAACTGTATTTTGATGGTTTGAAGGCTAACCTTTTTTAAAATAAAGTTGTTTCATTTACTAACAGAAATAAAAGAAACCCCTAATCTAGATGATTGTTCATTTTTTTCTATTGAAAATCACAACTTGATTTTTTTTTAAATATTAAAGAAAAGGCAACACAAAAGCACAGAGATTAAAAGCTCTTCTACCCACTGGCTCTACTGAGATTTTCTTAGCGAGTTATGGCAATGACTTTGGCGATTCTGCTGTGCTCCCAGCAATCCTGACATTGTAACTTACTCTGATTACCTTGTGGCAACTCAGAAGCAGTCCTCGATAAGATCACCCACTCTTTTGTCCTCATGATCCAGCCCTAAAACCTTCTACCTTCAGGAATGATTTGTAGTCACAGTTTTCTGACTGTCCACAGTAAAAAGGCTCTTCAAAGTGGGGGTCATGGTCAAGGTGTGTATGTGGTCAGCCTCTTGGCACCCAGCATTCTCTGCTGGCACTGCCCTGAGAGCCACCAACAAACCGAATTGGCTGGTCTAGCAGGATTCAAGAGATGTTCATTGTACTTATTAAAATGGCCTCAAAAATATGTAAATTCAGATGTACTTAAAATCATATCTACGGTATAATAAAAATGTTTAGCAAGAAGAAACCGAGCTGCTTAATATCTGTTCTACGGCTACACTCTTCCCAGCTTATTTCCTGTTCTTATTTGTGAGCTGCATCAGCAGCATAGACTTGCACACATCCATGCCTGTGTGTGTGTGTGTGTGTGTTGAAAGCACATTCTGTCTGACATAACAAAGAAGATGCCCATGTCCCAGAAATACTTGCTACTGGTCTTTCAAGGATGCTCACTTTCTGGCACAATGTAACAAAGTTTTAGATACTCCCAACAGATGGACCTCAGTGCTTGAGTCACCTGGGAGTTAGGCAGCTCGCTGCACCTGTTGCAGTGGTGAAAGCAAACAACACATTCCGATCTCCACTAAAGGAAATATGGGACCCCACTAGCTTTCCTCCACACTGTGCCTAATTTTGATTATGTTCACACAATAGCAGCACAAGCTGGATTCAGGAGAAAAAAACAACAATGGACATGTCTCCTTTTTGGTCTACACAGTAGGATGTTTTTGTTGCTTGTTTTTAAATCTTAAGGAACTGGATATTATGAAATGACAGAAGTGACTAAGATTTTGTCAGGCAGAGGTCTCATGCTTTTTTTTCCTCCTACTTTTGTTCTCAAAGGAAAAGATATGGTTTGTATAGTGTTTCAAAGTTACCAGCTGTAATTAGTATGGCTGATCCATGTGCGCAATGCTCTGTACATTAAGTAGCCCTTAATTAACAGAGGGTTAGCCAGACAACCCCACCTTTGCTGTTCTAGACATTCTAGTGACATACACTTCTGAGGTGCCTTTTTCATATTATATATAAATTAATCCAGAGTTCTAAAGCACTAAATTCCAGAGTTATGAAAAAGTCTTAACTTACTTCAAAAACATCTTGCATAAGTGTGTCATCCCCTAAGTTCAAGCGAACGGGAAAAGTAAAGGCAAGGAAGAAGACATAAATTGAGAACTCTGAGAACACACACACACACACACACACACACACACACACACACACACACACTTCTCTCTCTCTTTCTCTCATTCTCTCCTGGTTCTACACAGTATGAGTTATTTCAGCTAATATAGCTTCTAATGTGGATTTCATCTGAAAATAGCCTTTCTGGGTGTCTGGCGGCATCATACAAAGCAGCAGTACTTCTTCCACCAGGACTTGGAAAGGTTTTTCACTTTGTCCGGAGTCCTACTTTTAGACTTCTTTGGCTGCTGCTGCGAGTCTGAGTACTGAATCCCAGCAACAATGGCCGCGTCAAATACCTCTTTGAGGTTTTTCTGAGTCAAAGCGGAGCACTCAATGTAGGAGGCGGCTTTGATTTCCTCGGCACACAGCTTAGCTGCCTCCTCCGGCACTGGCTTCTCCTTGCACTTGTCCAGCTCAATGAGGACTTTGACATCTTCTCTGAGGTCCGACTGTGTTCCGACTAGAATGATGGGGGCTTTGGGACAGTGGCAGCGGATCTCTGGCACCCATTTCTCACTGACGTTTTGGAAGGACGAGGGGCTCACAACACTGAAGCACAGCAGGAAGATGTCTGTGTTGGTGTAGCACAGAGGCCTCAGCTTGTCAAACTCATCCTGCAACCAAGCAGAGCAGCAAAAAAAAAAAAAAAAAAGATTTCTGAAATCCATCCTCACCAGCAAAACAGTTTCACATCTGTCCTGGGAGGAGCTGGCAGGTCATCCAAAGCCACTGGCTACCAAAGGAAGAACCAACATCTTAGCAGCAGCTCTGACACTTGTCCAAATGCACCCAGAGATCCAGGAATCTGGACAGGTGCAGCAGCAGTCTGCTTTGAGGACCAGCTATGGCCCTTACACTGCCAACTGCGTTTGTGTTTTGCATCAGATCTGCACCTGATCATAGGAAAAGTATTTCAAGTCACTGTTTTAGAAATGAATTTAATTTTACCTAGCCTTCCACCAGAAGGACTCAGACTTCTCTGTTGGCTCTTGGTAATTAGCTATTCTACTGAAATTCAGATTGCATCCCCAACCTGTCCCTGGCACAGGCCAGTTCAGCAACACAGTTGTATGGTGAATGATGCCGACTTCATTGCATCTGCACCTAGCACTCATGGTACCTAGAATCATGTTCCGGAGACACAAGGACAGACCCAGGGATGGAGCTGAGGAGCTTGGCTGGGCCTCTGTCTCTGGCAAACGCGGGGAATCTGGCCTTCTTGGTGTCAGCTCATGCACTCCAGTTACCGCCTCCTTATTCTGGTTCTATCTCCTGCTTTGCCCTCCTTGCCTCACTGTCTCTTTATTCCTTTTCCTTTCTTTATCTCTGCCAACACCGTAGGCCGCCACCATCTACAATAAATACAATAAACACTCTGGATGGATTTTTTACAAAAAAGAAACAAAAACAGAAAATGGGCATATCCACCATCCCCTTAAAGCCTAGAGAAATAAGTCAAGTAAGTTCTGGTTGGTTATACATAAACTACCCTTGCGCTCTTAGTCTTCATTTATTGGAAAAACATACTCAATACCAACTCTATGACTAGGTATGGTAAGGGAGTTTGATTGTAAACAAATGACACAGGACTCCAAATCATCAACAACATCTCTCTCTTTCTCTTTCTCTCTCTCTCTCCCTCCCTCTCATTTTCAGAGGGTCATGAATTAGCCAAGTCCTGGGGCCAGAGTGGTGATGTATCTGGCTGATCCACTACCCTGTGGCACTAGCATCCCATGTGGGTTCTGGTTCATGTCCTGGTTGCTCCACTTCCCATCCAGCTCCCTGCTTATGGCCTGGGAAAGCAGTGGAGGATTGGCTCAAGGCCTTGGGACTCTGCACCCCTTGGTACCCCGCTCCATGTGGAGACCCTGAAGCTCCTGGCTCCCAGCTTCAGATCAGATCAGCTCTGGCCATTGCAACCATTTGGGGAATGAACCAGTGGATGGAACACCTCCCTATCTCTCCTTCTCTCTCAGTAACATCTGCCTTTCAGATTTAAAAATACATAAATGAATGCATCTTAAAAAAAAAAAAAGGAAAAGAAAAGAAAATGGAGCCTTGTCTTCAGGCAGCCCCTCTTGGAAGGTGGCTCCCGGTGTGCTCTGGAATCTGGAGTTCTATTACCAAACAAGAAAGAAAAGGCAAGCCATGGCAGTGCAGGGGCCAGCCAGGTGCTTGGGCTTTGGAATGCTGGCTAAGGGCTCTGGGCAACAAAACAGAAATGAAACCTCTTGTACAATGCCTAGAAATCTTGGCTATTTGCTGAAATAATACAGTCCACACATGTATGCCGAGGCCAGCTGGAACGCACCCTCAAGCAAACATGTTCCAAGGCCAGGTGCTTTGCAAGCACTTGCCACGTCTGCCACATGACTGTTCCACAGGGTCCCTTTAGGGTGCTGAGGCACTGAGACTGGGGCTGGACTGCAGCATCCCTTCGGTCAAGATGAGCCTGAGGGTTTTTGTGTTTTGTTTGAAGTATAAAGATGTTCCCAAGCTCCTTATGAGTCAAAGGGCTGGAGAATTTTCAGCTTCTATTGGCAATTCTGCAGTGAGCTACTCTCATTTCAGCAACAAGCTTTTCTTTCATGCCAAAGCCACATATCTTAAAGTCATCAGGCTCTCTCTGATCCCTCTGTATTTGAGTGAGACTGTGAATCCAGTGTTAAAAACCCCTTTTGGCATCTTACAGACCCACTTGCCTGCCTATTAAAGAAAAGCAGCGACCTCCAGATATTTATCCAACCAGCAAGTCTACCTCTCTGCTCCCAGCGCAACACCTTCTTTAGTAAGTATTTTGGCTTCCTCCATCCAGTCTAACTATGTTCACTCGAGGCTGTCAACTTCATCAAGTGTTGCATCGAATCCTGTAAACGGTACCTTATCCGATAGGAACAAGGGCGAGTGGAAAATGTCCACCATCTTGCCTAGTTACGCAACTGGAAAATCTATTGGGTCACTTCCCAAATGGCAACCCCCAGCCACATCTGGACCTGGCTGAACTGGGGACCAGGAGCATCATCTAGATCTCTCATATGGGTGGCAGGGACCTAAGTGCTTGGACCATCTTCTGCTGCCTGGAAGTAGAGTAGTAAAGTGCTCCAATATGGGAAGCTAGCACCTCAAGCAATGGCTTAACTTGTGTCACAGTGCCAGCCCTTCCAAATGTTTTTGTGAAAGTATTTCTAACATTTCAAAAGTGTCTAATTCTTTCTGATAATTGAGTCATTTTTAACAAGTGGTTTTGTTTTTTTGTTTTTTGTGAAAATCCCCAAATCCTACTCTCCTTTGAAGCCTCTGTTTAGAGGTCTTCCTTCCAGGCCCACCAGCCTGTGTCCCCAGGCATCGCAATTACTGTACTTTGTCACATTTCTGCCACGAGCTGCCCTGCCATCAACCAGTCTGTCCTCCCCACAAACTGGGCTGAATGAATGGCAGGCCAATGGTCTGTGTCACCACCCTGAGGACCCAGCCTTCCTCCCCTAGCCCTGCAATGCTTCAGGCACTATGCTAGACTCCAGAAGCAGGAAGTCATGTCCTTGTGGACAGCCAGCACCTGCCAGGGAGTCCAGGGATGGAACGACGACATCTCAGTGACATCCAGTAGGGGTGCTGAGCTGCCTGCTCCCTTCTTATAAGAGAGCCCTGGGAACCGCATCTTTGGACTTCATGTTTTCCTGTCCCCGCCCCTAGTAGCTGTTACGTACCTGGGATGCTCCTCCGCCCATATTTTAAGATCAGGAAACCTGACCCTCAGGAGGTTACCCTGGTCAGCACTTTTACCTGCCTCCAAAGTAATTGCCAGCACTTTGCAAACTCTATAGCGTGCTGGGAAAGCACCTAGCATGTTATCTGTCACTTTGGCAAACTCCAGTCCCCCAAGGGAGTACTCACAAGGCCAGTCTACACTGAGTGACGTTACACCCAGCAGGAAGTCACAAGCCAATCCCACACCTCTCCATCACTGCCTTGCTATAACTTCCAAGCACCTGGCCCTTGCTCAGGATCTGGAGTGAGTGCCAACCATTTGTGCCTGCAGCTTAGGCTTGCTCTGACAACTCTCTCTTTCCTAACTCCCCACCCGCCACCTTGCTTCTTGGGCAACTGGCTGTTAGCTTAGAAATATTAATATTACTGATAAAAGTTCCATCTCTTTCTGAGCAAATTTCTTAAGATATCAGGCTCTTTGGGGCTAGCATGGTAGTGTAACAGATAAAGAAAACTCTGGTCTGGCGTGCACCAGCATCCCATGGGGCACCAGTTCCAGTCCCAGGTGCTTCACTTCTGATCCAGCTCTCTGCTAATGTGCCTGGGAAAGCAGCAGAGGATGACCCGAGGGCTTGGGCCCCTGCACTCATGTAGAAGACCAGGAAGAAGCCCCTGGCTCGTGGCTTTTAGATCAACCAAGCTCCACCTGTTACTGCCATTTGGGGAATGAATCAGCAGAAAGAAGATCTCTCTGTAGCTCACTCACACACACTCTCTCTCTCTTTCTCTCTCTCCCTGTAACTCTGACTTTCAAATAAACAAATCTTTAAAACAAAACTGACTCATAGACCATCAATGAAATAATCATATCACCTGTTTACTCTGATAAACGATTACACAGCTTCACTGATGTGCTCTCGGTGGAAAGCCCAACTTTGCCATCAGTGGTATGGGGAATGCCTGGTTAAGGAGAGTCCTTGAAGACTCTGGCTCATCCTACTTGGTGGGTTGGGAGGGCCAGCACCAGCAGCAAGGGCGGGTCTACTCCACAAGGCTACAGAGTGACCCAGTTACCGTGACAATCATTTGGAAGCACATCAACAGTGGTTTGTAAACCTTTGAAAGGGCCGGTTCCCAACCCAGCACAGTAACATGATACTGACCTGACCAGCGGTGTCACAGAGCTGGAGTCTCACAGGTCGCCCATCCACGGACACCACAGCTTCAAAACAAGACCAATAGGACCGTCAGCAGGTGCCTTCCAACTGTTTTCCCAAGTCTAATCACTTGAGCCAGGAGGCTGGTGGAGGAAGCGATTTTGTACACAAGCTGTCCTTCCAGAGCTGGCCATCCACTCCATCGCTCCCAGCCCTGAGCTCTTTGATGGTGCCCCCAGAAGGACCCTGTGCTTTGCTCCCAGCCCCGGAAGATTTATTTTCCTGTCACACTCCTTTCAAAGGATCTTAACACATCACGGAAGGAGGGGGGGGCAGGCTAGAAGGCTAGTCATTGAGACGCGACCTTGCAGTTTCCAATCGGTGGCAACTCTCACAAATCATGAGGTTGTTTTTGTTCTCCTCCTCCCCCTTGGGAAATGCTCCCCCACTTTCAGGGTTTGCCATGGAACTCTAGCTTGTGTTTTGAGAACTTGTGCAAACACAGGCAAGGCCCCGCATGGTCCTGTTTATAAGAGAGGACATTCTTATCTTGGTCTGTCAGTTCAAAGAGAGGATTAGAAAAGAAAAGGAAGGAAAAGAACTCGGGCGCCCACCTTTTGACCAGGATCAGAGCCTTTGGGGTAAGGGGGAGGGGCTGCGCCTGGGCAAGTCAGCAGGCTTGCCAAGCACTCAGCGTGTGTCTTGGTCTGCAGCGCTTTTCCAACTGTTTACAAATGTTTATGGGAGTTGGCTGTGGGCGGGAGGAAAAGAGGCAAGGCTCTAATGGGAAAGCACAAGCGGGACACCCTTTATCTAGGGTCCCTAGGCACTGAAAGACACCCCAACTTTGCCATCAGGAACTACGAAAAAGATCAAGGAAGTGTGCGGGGTGGGGTTTGGAGTGTGGGTACAGAGGACAATGTTTTCGATTAGTAAGGCACTGATTTCTCACTAGCTTTTGCGAATTTTAACTTTTTTTAAAAAAATTCAAGATCTGACACATCAAGATCGACGGACGAATTATGTTTAAGTCGATCAAACCACAAAACAGAGCACTCCATACATTAAGAGTCTTCCTAGGTAACTGAAGGAGATCCTCTCGGGAGACACGCTGACCATCGCCAACAGCCAACGGGCTCCGAAGGTCGAGGCTGTTCGTGTCTGGGGTTCAACGCCCTTCTCAGCCTTCTCTGGCGCCACCAAGGCGGCTCTTTAAAGTGTGGAGACGCGCCCCAAGGAAGGAAACGGGTGCGGGCGAAGGCACCTGCGCATCACCTGTCCTTAGAAACCGGCCGGTGGCGTCAGCGACGCCGAGCGGACGCAACTGTTCTGCGTGGCACACTGGCACCCAAACTCCACCTGTTCAACTCCCCGTTCCATGGTTGCCAAAGCCAGCTTTTTCCGTAAGGCACCGTTTGCGTCTCCCCAAGCTCTGGTTTCAAGGTTCCTCACTACGTTGCAGTGTTCTCCAGCTGCTCCCACCCCAACCCTTAAAAAAAAGCGTCTCCCACCGTTCCGCACTCGGCGGGCTTCCCCCTCCTCCGTGTGCCTCCCGACCCCGCACCCCTCCGCCTCAGGCCCCTGCTCACCCGAGAAGTTGTCGAAGGCGGTGGGGATGTACTCGGTGGGGTAGCCGTTGGTGGTGTAGCTCACCACCAGGCTGGTTTTGCCCACCGCGCCGTCGCCGACCAGCACGCACTTGACGCCGCGCCCCTCCGCGCCGGCCGCGCGCCCCCGGCCCCCCGGCGCCCCGACTCCGCGCGCCCCGCGTCCCCCGCGCTCCCGGCGGGGCGGCACGGGCGGCGCCTCGCAGCGGCCGGAGAACGCGGGGTCCCCCTGCTGCGGGGGCATCGGTCCTCGTGCACAGACTTGCAGGCGCGGGCGATCAGGGGCCCGGCCCGGTCGCCCCTCCGCCCGGGAGGGCCGAGGGAGGGTGGAGCTGTCACCGTCTGCGGCGGCCGCGTCCCCGGCTCCGGAGAGCGGCGCTTCCTGGCCCCGCGGCTCTCAGACAAAGGCAGCCGGGGAGGGTTGCGGCTCCGCGCTCCGGGGGTGCCAGCCGGCTCGGTCCCGCGCGATCGGTGCACTGCGGACCCGAGCGCCGTGTGGCCCGATCGCTCTGCCTCCGCCCGGCTTCCCCGCGACACGACGCGTGGGGGGCGGGCAGGCGGGCCGGCGGGGAGGGGAAAGAGGCGGGTCCAGCCTGGCCACTCGGTCCCCTCGCCGAGGACACAGCGCCCCCAGCCTGCGCCGCGCGTCCTAGCACACGCGGGGCGCAGGCGGCTCCGCGCCACCCGGCTCCGGGATCACCAAGGCGCGCGTTCCTGGGTTTGCGGAGTGCGAACTGGAGCTTTGGGGAACGGCGAACACCTGCTCCGGGAGCAGCGCCCGAAGGAAGAGCTCCGGAGTAGGCAACTTTTTTCCAGGCTCCAGACTGCGACCCTGAATCCGACCGGCAGGGACGGTTCCGCTTTTTTTCTTTTTTTAATGCGTTTTATTTTTAGACAACCTACATGACCATGTCTTTTTCCTTTTTCATTTTACTTCCTCCACTAGAAGTAAAGCACGAAATAAAGAGCTCTTGTTAACCTCAGTCCCATTTCTTCCAAGCCCTGGTGCTGTGGGTGCCAGCAGCCACCAGTTAGGATGAGCAGTGATAGTTCCAAAGTAATTGCCGATTTGGTTGGTTTTTGGAATGAGCAAGGATGTGCTATATCTGTTCTGTTGCCCCTGTCATAAAAGGTTTGACTCTTTCTCGTCTCCGTTCTTCAAGTTTGCCTTTGGTTTCACGTGGTCTTTGATATACTTCGTGAAGCTGGCTTCCTACAGCTGATGACTCATGACAATATCCACCGCAATAATCCTGTGTTTTCGGTCCCTTCATGCCGGTGCCTCCTGAGAAGGACTTCTTCTGGGTTTCCTCCACCCCGTCTCCTTGTCCCCACCCGTCTGTCCCAAGTTTGTACGACTCAGAGCCAATGGAAGGCAGCCCCACTGCTAGTGCCCATTGGATTTTTTGTGCCTCCATGCCATTACAGGCTGATGAATCCCATTCTTCTGTGACTTAAGTATAGTTTTGAGACTTAATGGTTAACTGAAAATGAAGTTCATTTGTTGATGACTCTTCTGTTTAACTTCCCAACAAATAGTCCATTCAAACAACAGGACCAACGCTGCTGAGCCTACTATTTAAAGAAGGGCTCCTTGGGGACAGGACATCACAGTTAACCAACAGACATAGCATCGCTCTGCTGCAGTTAACTTTCAAATTACCATGATTTGGACCCATTTTACAGAAGGGAAAACATGAGGCACAGAGCTTGTAAGTCATGTGTTTCAAGTTCCACAAGCTCCTGAGTTTCAGGGCCAGGGCTGGAGGAGAAATTCATAAAGTCTTTCTCCATTTTAAGAGCTCCTAATCAATTTTCTAAAGGTATGAAAGAAGACAATGGGGTCAGCTCAGACTTAGAAGCATGGCTGTGATCAGGATGCTGAGAAAGAGTACCAGCAGGCTAGAAGCTTGGATCCCAGGCCCCTCACCCGCAAACAGCATGTGGAGACCAGGAAAATGAGTGCACGTCAATATGTTCTTGTAAATTTCGCAAATGTCCGTGTGCTATCTTTTTTTTTTTTTTTTTTAAGATTTATATGCTTGAAAGGTAAAGTTTCAGAGAAAAAACAACTAGAGGTCAGCAAATTTTCCATCCAAGGACTCACTGCTCAAATGGGCAGAGCTGAGCTAGTGTGAAGACAGGAGTTTCTTCTGGGTCTCCAAGTAGGTTCAGAGGCCCAAGCACTTGGGCCATCTTTCACTGCTTCCCCAGGCATGTCAGCAGGGAGCTGGATAAAAAGTGGAGCAGCTGGGATTCAAACTGCCGTCCACATGGGACGCCCACTCCACAACAGCAGCTTTGCTGTGGCCCTGGCCCGCCTACCACTTCTCTACACCGTCTCTTTTGATTCTATCTTCCCTTCCTACTGAGTCATCTGACAATTCTGAGGCTCAAATCAACAAAAGTGAAGCTGGGGAGAGACTTTTTAAATTAATGGGATGCAGAGCTATGAAAAGAGAGCCACCAAAGGGGCAGAAATTAAGAGGAGACACTGGTCTTAAAGGTCAGACAGGTGCTCATCCAGCACCTGCATGAACCTGAACCCCCTTAAGGTTTTGAGCCTCAGCCGCCTGGTTTGCCTCTCTCAAGCCCCAACTTCAACATGTTGTATGGTTTATGGTTCTCCTATGTTGCATTATTGCTCATCATCCTGCAGTGGGTATGGCTACCATGGACACACCTCCTGCAGGAGTCAGATTGGTGTCCTGCGATGCCTGCACTAAAAAAGCTTCCACTGTAAAATGTACATGTTGCTGCAGAGGGTTGGCCTTACAATATACTCCAAATGTAGTCGGTGTGGCAGTTAGGGCTTGGAGGATATGGGTCTACACGCTGATACCAGTTCTTCCATGTCTAGATATCCCTCTGTCACTTGCAGTAACCTTTAGAGTAAAAGGCAGGGCTGAAGGGCAGGAGGAGGGAGGGAGAGAGAGAAATCTTCCATCTGCAAGATTACTTCCAATATGTCTTCCATCTGCTGGTTCACTCCCCATATAGCCACAACTGCCAGGGATTAGTCAAATGGAAGGCTGGGTACCAGAAGTTTCAAATGGCTCTCCATTTTGAGTAGCAGGGATCCAAACTCTTAGGCCAATTGCTGCTGCTTTTCCCAGGAGAAGAAGCTGGAACAGAAGCGGAGCAGCCAGGACACAAATGGGTACCCATATGGGATTCCAGTGCCGCAGGCAGTGGCTTTACACAATATGTCATGACACTGACCCATACTTAGAAAAATATTTCTGGATATAAGGTTTATATTGTGTGTACTTAGGTTAGGCTGTGCTCAGTGGCAAATAAGCTCAAAGTGTTAATGTCTAGAAAAATAGGAGTCACTTTTGAGTACACACAATTCGCAGCAGGTTTAATGACTCTCAAGGGCAGCTCCCTTCCAAGTAGCAGCTCAGGACTTCAGCTTGCCCGTGTCTTGTCACTGTGCCACCTGGGACACACGCATGAACACACACATGTAGCAGCAAATGTGCAGAGCTGAAGGTAAAAATCAAGCTTGATGTCCAAAACAAGAAAATGAGTACGTTAGCCTTGGAATGTCTGTTACCTTGTTTAGTCAAGAAAATGAGTGAGGGCCCAGCATTGTGGTAGAGTGGGTGAAATGCCGCATATGGGCACTGCTCTGTGTCCTGGCTGCTTTGTGTTTAATCCAGCTCTTTTGTTAAATGTAAGGAAAACAGAGGAAGATGTCCCAAAGGCTAGGCTCCTACCACCCCGTGTGGGAGACAGGGATGAAGATCCTGACTCCTGGCTTCAGCTTGGCTCAGCCCTGGCATGTGCTGTCATTTCTGTCCTTCCTCTCTCTATGTAACTGTTTCAAATCAATCAATAAATATTTTTTTAAAAGTTTCATGGAAAAAAGATGTGATCAAAAATTTACACTCAGATTTCAATTATTTTTTTGTGTCAACCCTCTTTTGGTTCCATTTTTCTTGAACTTTTAAAAAGTACCCTCTTAGTAATTAGTTATGTCATATTTTTGTTAGTCCTACTCTTGTTAAAAAATATGTTGCACTAATATTTCAAAATTATAAACGGTTAAAATAGTCTAACCTACACATCGCACTCAGGACTCACGGTTATTTACATTCCAAAGAGCTATTTACTTTAGCAAAGAATGGTGATTATCACATACTGCACACTTTTTGAATTAAACAACACTCTTAGCACAAAATTCAAACGTGATTTGAGTGACCAAAATCCTTTTTTACAAAACTTTCCCAGGAACACATATCATGAAGTATTACTGTACACTGTTTACATTGCTAATGTTTATTTTTAATAGGGATATCATCGTCCATGAGTGTTATTTATAAGGGTTTTAATAATTTTTAACCAACTGAACTGGTTCTGCAGGGTTGTTACAAAAGAGACAAATGGCAATTTACATATACAAGTTACAGGGGAAAGAAATGAAAGTTCCAGGAAGGGCCCTGGGCAGAATGGCAGGTAAACTGCTGGGGAGGAAAAGTCACACTCAACTGCTGATGTGCCAAACAGATGCTGGGCCAGGCCGGCTGGGCTGTGCAGCCGCGGCTTCCCCCTCCAGATCTTCCCAGCTGTTGCAGCTCTGTCATTCACTTTTGATGATCCAGGCCTTTTCAGTCCCCTCCAGAGCTGCTGGGGTGTTCCCAGCTTTTTCTCCCAGCTGCCTGAGTTTTCCCATTGCAAAGTTCCTTCCCAGGCCTTGGAAGCAACTGGTGTGCGTCCAATTGCACATCACAGAAACTCCCCAGGCCAAACAGTTTCCAGCTGCCCAGTTCCTTGCGGATGATAAGAATGCTTTAGAAACCCCTCTTAGCTATTGCAAAACCTTCACCTCCCCTAACTTTGCAGTCACCCAAAGATAAGAAACTGACCACGTAATCATTTCCCACCAACCATATAGTCATCTGGACCAGCTCTTGTGTGGTGATGGAACTGCCTTAGTCACTACTAAAAATCGCAACCCTTTCTTGTCTCACTCTTCCCAGCTGGGGGGTATGGAAACTCCAACAATCCTACAAGAGAAGAGGAAGTGTGTTTTTATATAGTGTCTCAGTAGTTTTCAAAATTCATCGCTGGGTTTGCAATAACACTGTAAGACTTGGAATAAATGTGTGGCTATTCAAATACCACACCAATCTGCCAAAGTCAGGGTTTGAGAAAAAACAGAAGACTACTCTACCAGGAGCGCTTCTTTCTCTGTTATGTACAACCTTGAATAATATAAGTGGAAGAAGATTGTTTCTATCTAGTGAAATTAGGAAGCAAATTTGATTTCAGAAGAGTATGGTTTTAACATTATTGAGTCTAATTCATAAACAGTGTGACTACATAGGAGTAGTGGTCATTAAGACAAGGATGGTTAGAGCATGCTCTGGGTGTCAAGGAAGTTGTATTCCCTGGAAGGGAGAAGATGGTTGTAAAATAATGATGCCTGAAGAGTTTAAAAGGATGTACAAAGTGTGATAGAAAGTATGTGCCTGAGGACGCAGTGAGACT